GAATTAGCAGTATTTTAGATACATGCTTGCAGCTTTCTTCCTATGGGCCAAGCAGGATTCTAGGTACTTTGCATCTATTAACTCAAGTCCAATTTTACTAAAGTTCAGGTTTTACAGAGAAGAATGCCAAGAAACAAGGTTTGAAAAGCCTGACTTCCAAAGAATTTTTTCTGTAGACGGTGTCGAAACAAGTGAGATTTTGTTGTTGTTGTTGTTGGAGGGATCAGAGGAAGGGTTGTTTTAAAGAAAATAATTGCATGTGCAAAAAAATATGTGGTGTTGCCAGGCAGTGGTGGCTCATGCCTGTAATCTTAGCTACTGAGGAGGCTAAGATCTGAGGATAACAGATTCAAAGCCAGCACAGGCAGGAAAGTCCTTGAGACACTTTTGTCATTTACCCAACCAAAAAACAGCTGGAAAAGTAGCTGTAGTAAAGCACTAACCCTAAGCAAAAAATCTAATGGACAGAGGCCCAAGCCCTGAGTTTAAGCCCCAAGACTGGCACAAAAATAAATATTAGGTCAGCATATAGAATAGGATGAACATAGGAGAGAAGGAACTAGACAGTTATTTGGAAACTAAATCTTCAAAACCAAGATAAATAGTGGAGGGGTGGCTCAAGCAGTGGAGTCCCAGCCTTGAGCAAAAAAAGCTAAGGGATGGTGCCCAGGCTTTAAGTTCAAGCCTCACTGCCAATTCACACACAACACACACAAGAAAAATAAAGTGAGCTAACTAATAATTAGATATGGAATGGGGGGGTGGAGGAAGGATTTTCATAGAAAGCACTAACCTTGATTAGAAATAGAAGTATAGGGAAAGTAGGGGTGGGATTCAAGAAATTTTATTTTTGGTGGTTTCCTAGAAGACATTAACACTGAGCAGTGTGCTACAAATTACTAATCATCCTTCTGCCTTTGGTAAAACTTATGCTTTTTGAGCTAAAAGCTGATTAGAAATAATTTCAGTTTGGTGTCACATAGGGCACTCCTGCCTCATGTATGTACCTACAGTGTGATTTTTTTTTCTTCCCTATACTAGTGCTAGACTATTTCTGAGCCATACCTCCAGCTCTTTTTTTTTTTTACTGGTTTTATTTTTATCAGTACTGGGGTTTGAACTCAGGGCCTAAGGTTATTTGGCTGGCATTCTACCTCTTGAATCATGCCTCTAGCCCAGCTTTTCACTATTGGGAGATGAAAGACTCCCAAATTTTTCTGCCCTTACTGGCTTTGAACTTCAGTCCTCCAGATCTCAGCCTCCTAAATAGCTAGGATTGTGGGTATGAGTCACTAGTGCCAACCTAAGAAGGGTACTTACGTGTATACCCAGGCTAGCCTCAAACCATGATCCTCTTGATTTCAGCTTCTCAAGTATCTTGGATTATTAAATTCCAACCACTGGTGCCTGACCAAACTAAAAATGTTCTCTCATCACTTTATTACTTTACCATGCAAGAAAGTCAAAGATACATTGAATGGTGATCTCAGTTGTACCCTGGTTAATGATCTAGGAAAACTGTTTAAAAAAGGGGCGGGGCTGGGAAGTTGGCTCAGTGGTAGAGCGCTTGCCTTGCATGTCTGAGGCCCTGGGTTCGATTCCTCAGCACCACATAAGCAAAAAGAAAAAAG